AGATCCTGAACCTTCTTGGAATTTCCCTGATTCTAATCTCAATTTAACCCCCAGTTGCAAAGTATCACCCCAAAATTGTTCTAAAAAATAACATTTAAAATCAGCATACGAATTGAACATGTAGCTATAAACATCAAACCAGGTTTTTGCAGTTTTCTCAAACAAATTACCAATAAGAAATCTCAACTGATTAAAGGGGACGCTATTAGTGTCGAAACAAGCCTCGATGTTATTCAAGAAATCAACAGGGTGTAACCCTTCGTTATCAAAAGTGGGTAAAACTCGTACATCTCTCAAATCAGATACATTATTAAAAATTCTATTATTACTAGGCACATTTTGCACTAGTGAAGGTGGATTGTGATTTATAATATTAGGATTACTATTTGCTACACTACACTGTCCCTGATGGTTACGTGGATATCGCATCCATTCATAAAAAAAAATCTAGTATTGAACAACATGCTTGTACAAATCTGGTAAAAATGTGTCCACCCACTCAAAATTTATAAGGGGAATAATTTTATTCAAATGAATGGAATATCTGAAAAACTGATTATATGACTATGGAATGTCTTTCATCTCCTTGATGGGACATATCGACTATCAATTAAATCCGTACATATGGAAATATATACAATATTGCACATTCTTCTAAATAATGGTATACACCTTGAGCATTAAAAAACAATCATATCTCTAACTATTTACAGTAAGTCGAGCTTATAACAAACTGGTATTTTTATTCGATATATACAGAGTGAATCTTTCTGGAGTTTTTTATGAGTATTGTTCATATTCTGTTAAGCCAATAGATTAACCCAAGAACATATCTAGATACCTGAAGCATTGATGTATCTTTTTATGAATATTTATCACAGCTCAAAATGAATCATGATGATAACAAAGATGCTGGTGTAATTTTGCTGACTCAAGCTGTGATTGGTAAAAAGTTGGAATCTATCGGATTAAGTGGTACTGTCATATCAAATTCAAAAATTATAGTGTAAATTCTCGATAACCTAGCTTCGAGATCATCAAGTGGAAATTTTTCAATAAGTTTCGGCATTCAACCTTAGATATACAGAAATATTCCACAAAGAATTCCTTGCAAGAAAAAATCGCAGGCTCAGAAACTACAAACTTATTTTTAGCGTGTCATGATTAGGCATCATCCAAATGAACGATATTCCAACAAGTATCCAAAAATTCATTGGCAATGCAAGAATCTCGCTGAGAATCACTCCTGAGAAACCATTCAGAACTAGAGTCAACGCATTGAACGTTACCTAAAACACATACCTTGATGAAGGGAACTTGTATACAGAGCATATCCAAAACTGAGGCAACTTTTGACGTGGAAAATAGAAAATGATTGAAAGGAAATTTTTGTGTTCATCCAATATCAATTTTGGTTACCACTTTCATTCAAATTACTTGGGAACGTTGCATAGCAATACACTTTATCTACCTAAGCAGAGAAAGTACAGTTTAGCTGCATGTTGAGTGTCATAGAAGAACTACTTTCTATGCCGTTTGGAGAAAAAATGTTTCGAGTCGTTCCAAGAAATTGTTTTTTCCTCCGATTGGCAGCAAATATTAATTTTGCTGACACATATCGATCAGCAAAGTATTACTTTTCCTGCCTAGGCAGCAAAGTGGGTACTTTGCTGCCTAGGCAGCAAAGTGGTTACTTTGCTGATTGATATGTATCAGCAAAATTAAAAATCCATAAATCGTTTATGATTTCCTTCAGATTCCATCCGAGACTTCTCCGGCAACAAATTCAACTCTATATTTTTTATCCCTTATCAATGGAGGTGTAAGTATACTTCCAGGTCGCTATCACTGTCCATTATATAATAATTTAAATATACCGATATTTTTTCGCACAACTGTCAGAAATTTCATGAATTGTCAAACCAACAACTGCGATTTCTATCAAATTTTATTTTAATTGAACACTATACAGGAAGAATAAAGAGATTGTGGGAATTGTATTAATTCGCAAATACAATATTCTCCCATATCATTATGAACAATCGGAGAAAAAATTATATGTTCAACTCGGCAGCAAAGTAGATTGACTGCCTTAGCTGGATTCCTAGCCTCGCTACGCTCGGCTATGAATTCAGCCACGGCAGTCAATCTACTACTTTGCTGCCTAGTTAAACAAATAACTATTTCCTTCAAATGGCATGGAAAGTGGCTTCTCTACGACACTACACAGGCAGCAAAGGTGTGCTCTCTCTGCCAAGACAGAAAAAATATGCTGCTATGCAACGTTCCAAGTACTTTGAATGAAATTTGTGGTCAACATTGACACTGACATTAGAAGAACACAAAACGATAGATTTTTCAATAAAACATTATACAAAATTGATTTTATAACATTTGGAGAAACAATTGAATGTTAGTAGATTGACTGCCTTGGCTGAATCAGCCACATCAGTGAATTTCCTACTTTGGTGCCTAGTAAAACAAATGATTATATTTTTGCGATTCACTTCTTCATTGCATCTCATAAAAAAACACCCCAAGTTTTCAATCGCTTCAATTTCGAAAACACTCTATACAACTCGACCTCTCAACTCTCATCTCCATCATTCTGTTCATCAAATTCACTCGAACAGAAAAGGAATCATCGACACTGCCGAACGTTCGGTCTTACTGCGCAAGCGCAAGATCACAGTTTTCAGTATTTTCAGCTGGTGGCGCCCAACGAGAGTGGCCCGTTCTTGAGGTGGCCGGGCCCCTGGAAGGCCTGGCCGGCCATAGAACCGGGCGGCGGCTGGCCGGAGCCCGACATGTTGTTGTTGAGGTCGCCGTTAGATGGCGGCAGCTGAGGTCGGTGGCCGTTCATCAGGTGGCCTGGGAGAGACACCGGTGGTATCTGCCTTTTCAAATGCGATAATGGTGGTGGATTGTAAGCCATATTCGCAAAAACTAAACGTTCCTCGTAGTCGTATTCACACAGGATTTTATTTTCGCATAAATAAAACCTATCTCCAACACAGAACCTGGATTTTGAAAAGATGACCTTGCACCAGTCCTACTGATGCATCCTGTCGAGCTATCCGATGACACCGCTGTGACTGCGGCTGCAGCTGCTGGTCCGGCGCCGGGTGGTGACGTCGTTGCTGGAGGCGTCGCGACGCTCCCGGAGATGTTCGCCGAGGTCGCGTAAGTCGCGTTGTCTTCGGGACGCTGCTCAGGAGGTAGGAGGTTCTCTCCTGCTGGCCGCATACCGTGTGTTTCAGCTCGCCGGTCGTTGCGTGCTCGGAAAAAATACCCTGTCGGTCCCACGGGAGACTTCTCCAGAACCATTCTTCAATCAGCTCCTCGATGGTCGCCAAGTTGTAACGGTCTCAGGGGTTTGGTGGGTTTACTGATTAAAACATGGATGGTTCAGGAGACTATTTATTCACTTCAAAAGTTCACCAAGATCTCGGGTTGAGAGGAACGTCGAAAACCTAAATATCATATGCACTAATGAGCACCAGGACAGTCTATCACTTGATATAATGGGCGATTAAATTACAAAGGAGCAAAGAAAAGTAGGTACAACTAACATGTGACCTGAAAGGTCGGTCAACAAATCATAAAATAATATAAAAGAGTTTTACCCACCTAAATATCATATGCAGGCACAGGCCAAGATGTTCCAGAGGAACATTGGGCACATAGGAAACCAAAAACACAGAATTTGGGTTCGATCAACGTGGATGTTAAATTATTATTCACTTGGTTGAGAAAACTGCCCGTTCGAGAGTGAAATGACCAGCGCAAGCCATTTCAGAAAATCCCCTCTCCACAACAACTGACCCTAGGCGCGCACACGGATTTTGAATCTGTGTGAATGAATAGTTGGTTGCCTAGCCTCCCGAAGAATATTTGATAATTATTATTATATTTAAAAGAGAGCATGGGCGGCGACATTGATTTGTTACACACTAAAGTGCAAGTTTCCTTCACCGCTTGGATAACATCAATCATTCCAAATCATGAACGATAAATCTCGAAAAAAATTGAGCATTTTTGGAATACTTATTCCGATTGAATATCGGTTGATTTTCTAAAAAGTTATCGCATCTTGATGACTACCGTTGACAAGTTGACTCGTTCTTTTGTTCTTGTTGCAATTAATTTTACGAAGTAGCTATATGACTTTATTTGATTAAAACTTGTCCGAGGGAAACTTCATCATTTTTATTTAGGATGAGCTAGATTGAAACCAGATTGCAGAATGATCATGTTTTTGCACTAAATGTGTGTTAAAAGAACTCTCTTTATAGATCACATTAGACCTCATCATTTGAATTTCCTCAACATGCCAACTGAGTTGGATATCTCGCCAGTGATCGAATCACTATAATTCCGATAACAAAATATACCAAAATGCCCAAATGAACCAAAACGCCTAAGTGCCTTGGATAATGAATGAAAAAATGAGTAATGAACGATACTTGAAGATAACGACAGAAAAAGAACTACTTTCCTGGCTGTATACCATGCAGTTCATTGAATTACATCCTCTCGAAATCTATCCAACAATTCGTATAGACGATAAGATCACATGTGTTTCTTTCCTAGATGCTGAATTGTGCTTAGATTGTCCAGGAACCCTTTGACTACTACTAACAGACCGGTTTTGGGCTTTGACTCTCATCAGTGCAGGAATGTCCCTAGATGGCATTCATGACCGCCATCTGGTGCGAACCTTACCCAACGTAAATACATTCCAGTATTTGATACCCACGAGGTGTTTGGCAACTGCAACGAACGCCACGTACAGTAGGAAGAGAGAAACACTTCAAAAGAAAGTTTGATCTCATTCGTCTATATGAATCTTTGCATAGATTTCGGGAGGATGTAATTAAATGATCTGTGTGGCACATAGCCAGGAAAGTAGTTGTTTTTCCCTCGTTATCTACCAATTTTGTTCATTTATGAACTTTTGGGAATAATGACCTTTGTATATAAATTCGAATGAAATTCACCTCAATTGCCCTTTGTCTCTCGCCACCGACTGCCCTTCATCCTGAAACTTCACCTCCTTCCTAACCTCCTCGGACCTCCTCAACAAATACCCGTACAACGCCCCGACCATAACCTGCAGCAAACACGAACCGTTCAGCGGCACGACGTCTGTCCGCAACCGCTCTTGGACGAGCGTCGCGACGGCGGCCAGATTGGGATGGACGCCGGCCCAGAAGTGGCCGAAGCAGGCCAGCACCAGCGACATGGCCTGGTACATGGTGGCGCCAGTTAGGACTGCGTTGACGACCGCATCGGCGGTTGTCGGTATCAGGGGGGCAGCGAGGTTAAGGAGAGCTTCGTACCACGGCGGCTGGATCTGGTTCCAAACCTGGAAGTCATGAAAATGATCCCACTTAGCAAAGTGATATCTCAACAATATTGCAACAGTATTACAATGTAATGTGTATTGTTACATCAGATATTGTCGCTATCTATCTGCAAGGTCGTAGCAACTACTGAAACGGTCGTTCAGCAATATTATATATGTGTTGTTCGCGAATGAATCATTCCAGCAGAGTTATTGTAACATTGTGTATGGATAACAGTAGCATTTCATATTCAATGAACGAATGTAATATTTTATTAAGGTTACAACATGAAATAAGTAAGTATTGAAAAATTACATATTTTATGTTATAAATTATACATAGCAGCAATTTTCTAATAATCGAATAATCGTGTCGATTATTTCATAATTCATAGGTTAATTGAGGAAATTTCGAAATATTCTCGATATAACGGTGCTACAATTTATAGGCACCTTTCAGATTAGTTAGTTCATCTATCGGATAAACTCGAAAGTAAGTAAGTAAGTAAGTATTTATTTTTCATAGTTGAGGATTGTACACTTATTGATTCTGGAAATATTCATTTTTCAGGGTATGCTGAGTGTCCTCATGATATACACTTTTTTTTATGTTCTGGTTCCTACGAAAAGGGATATCCTGTGATTTTCAGAGAACATCGTGAGAACCAAGGAAAATGAGGTAAAAATTGGTGTTCTTCTTGAATTTCTAGAGGTTATATGCCTCGGGGAACACCTTCCTTGGCAATGTGTTCCAGAGCCTCGCTGTTCTTTGGCCGAACGAGTCTTTGGGAATACATGTTCTGCAGGTCTCCAAAGTGACCACGAAAGGGTGCGAAGCCTCAACTCGACGGGTTATTCTCGCGGTGACTGTCAAGGGAGGAACAATTGTTGATATTTGAGAAGAGCAAGGTCCATGAAAATATCTATAAAATAGGGCCAGTTCACCCACGAGACGGATTGCCCTTTTTTGATAAAATCCAACGGTGGGTGCTGCACTCCAAATATTATAACAGTATTCCAGGACAGGACGGATCTGTGCCTTATAGATCATAAGCAACTGACCGGAAGTGATATAGTTCCTGGCCCGGAACAGAGAAGGAAGTTTTTGGGATGCACTTTTAGCAATTGACCTCACGTGATTTTCCCAAGAAACGTTATTGCTGATAGCTATACCAAGCATCGAAATGGATGTCTTCAAAGGTATGGTTACTCCTGACAAGATTATGTTGGGCACAGTAAGATCGGCTTTTCTAGAGAAAACGCATGATTGTGTTCTGTTTGCATTGAAATCCACCAAGCTATTGGATCCTAATTCGAGAATTGTTGCCAAGTCTCTATTTATGTTGTCGATATTTCTCCCTCGTTCGTTTCTGATTTGCCTGGCTGGCATTGGAGCCCTGGAAGAGAAGGCGGTATGGAGGGTACTATATCATCCGCGAAGCTGTGTACTGGACATGAAGTTGGTGTTCGTGCTAGAATTAATCCTTGCGGAACACCAGCATCAATGCCTTGAAGATATCAAGTGCCACGGCTGAGGTTTCACCATATTTTTCAATAGATTTCTGCCATATATGTGAGACGTAAATGAGCAGGTCACGAGTTGATCTCTGATGACGGAAGCCATGCCTTTCATTTCTCCATGGCCTTTTAAATGAAAGATAGCAGTGCGATCGGTCTGTAGTTGCTCGATAAGGTCTTCTCATCTTTACGGTAACAACTCCAATTTGTAAGAGTAGTTGAACAACTTGCAGAGAATAGGTGTTAGTTCCGGAGCACATTTCTTGAGAACAATTGGTGAGATTCCGTCGGAGTCACAAGCTCTGATGGTGTTGAGACCCAATAAAATCTTGCTTATATAGTACGTTGGCGAAAAGTGATCTCGGACATTTGACTGTCAATTGGCGTTATGTTTGGAGGAAACCAGCTGGAAGTGAAGTTTCTTCCTACAGCTTTGGCGAAGGACCAAAATGAACAGGATCCGTTAGTACATTCAACAAGTTTTGATCTCGTTTTGGCATTATAAGCATCCTTCGATGATCGAATTGTCTCATTGCATATGTCTCTAGCCTCGACATATTCTGCTCTTGTCTCAGGGCCTGAATTTTTCTGTATGTATTGAAATATCATTCAAAGACGAACAAACAGAATGTTGACATACACAATGGAAAGAATACAAAGATGAAACAAAGATAACATTAGAAGATAGCATCCTAGATCGTATCACAAGTACATGAAATTCATAAAAATGAAGTTTGATTAAATTCATCAACCGAATAAAAATAATATCTGAGAAGGTGTTCGTTCACAGTAGTTTTGAAGCATATTCCATTCATAGATTCAACCTGATTTGGTAATTCATTGTAAAGCTTAAAGTTCAACGAATTTTCCTGGTTTCGACTAATCTATAGCGAGGCACAAGTAAATCATTTGCATCAGCAGATCGTGTATTGTGATGATGAAGGCTAGAAACTTTTGGAATGCTCAGCCTTCGGGAACGAATTCCTCTCAAATTTTGAAATATGTATACATATGGAAGAGGTGGTATTCCTAACTGCTTCAATAAAGGTTGGCAGTGCTCTCTATAACCAACCCCTGCTATTAATCTTATTGCTCGTTTTTGTAACCTAAAAATTTTCATAGCTTCAACTGAGTTACCCCACAGAACAGTGCCATAGCTGATCAAAGAGTGAAAAACGCCAAAATATATATGTTCCAACATCATCTGATGTAATCATTGTCTGAGTTGTCTCAGCAGAAATAAAACACTGGATAGCCTGGTACTAAGGAAATCCACCTGATGTGACCAATTCCATACAATTCACACCTATAATAACCTGCCGTGACTTGACCATCGCTGAAAATCATTAGTTTTTTTCTATTCAGTTGTAAATTATTCGCACAAACCCAAGCCTCTGCTCCGGTCATTGAAGTTCCTGCATGATTCAGTAGAAAGTGAAATATTAGTGTTGAAATTGAAAATTGACAATCTTTGAAATATGATAAATAATAATATGATGTATTATGATATGCAAATATACCTTACCAATATGTTTAGTAATAAAATGAGAATTGAAATGTATAGGAGGAGTATACTTGTATAAACTCTGTTCTTGATGAGCTTGAAACTTCCAAAAAAATCATTCGTATTAGTGATATGGGAATTATATTGTTACGTTATTCGGGTGCAGAAGCGAACACGACACTATTTATTTTCGAACTGATTTATTTAAACTAAAGAAACACTAATTTATATCGAACTTATAACTACTATTTATGTAAAACGATTCATATCACGCGGTATATAACTGTCTTTCTGACACTCGCTGCTTAACTGACTGACTCAGTTGTTCGGCCGTCTTATATATGAGAACACATGGCAGGCTTTGGTTGGAGAACCTTCTCGAATGATCTTCCGTCTCCTTCTTTTTGTTCTAGAAGCTTCTTAGAACAAACCTCTCTCTCTAATTGTTCCATCGATTGTTTCCAGATCATTCGAGAATCTTCTGTGACGTTATCTGTCACTGCGGCATATATTGAGTGTTCGGAAATATGCTAGTGTATGTAGAAATCATTGAGAGGTTGGAGAGCAATCTGGGATGCGTAATACAGGATGATCGTTGTACTCCTGCCTTCCTGCTGATGTTTCTAAAGCCCCTTTAAGGGGAATATCATTACAATATCTCTCGGTACAACTGATGTACTTCTATTGCTCGTTCATCCTACCTTCCTGATTTAAATATCCACAAATCCAATAGATTGCTCTTCGAGTATAAAGCCATTATTGGATGACTAGAGGTCATGTATTGGTTGTTCAATGGATGGATGGTTGGATGGTTGTATTTCCATTCGGAATCCATTGGATGCCTGAAGGACATATAATGGACATAGATTGGATATTCAAAAATTCAGACATTCGTTATGCAATGGACATCCAATGGAAACACATTGAAATGTGGTTTACAGCCAATGGATGTCCATGGTGTTTTTTTTATGTTCCTGTTCCCACGAAAAGGAATATCCTGTACTGTTCAGAGAACATCGTGGAAACCAAAAGAGGAAAGGTAGGAATTGGTGTTCTTCTTGAATTTCTAGAGGTTATATGCCTCGGAAAACACCTCCCTTGGCAATGTGTTCCAGACATGAAGGTCCATTGGAAGTTCATTGGACATTATTATGTTATCTGGGTCGGTCTGAGGAATATGTGGTGAGTTTTTGTGAAGACCTTTCAGGGACACACCGTTACTCGGATATACCTCCTGTATAGCACATTCAACTCACATTCCTCCTGTCGAAACTACCAGCCCAATCCGCTTCACCGGCCACCACAGGCATCAGCACCCTCGCCAAATCCTCTTCGTTTCCCACCGACAAAATCACCTCCGACGCCGACGCCACCAAGTCGTAGAAGTTGGCGTCGTTGAGAGACGCCGAGGACGTCGCGACGGCCCTGCAAGAGCCGTCGGCGCGGCACAGGAAGGCGCCGCAGTCGGATTCCTGCGGAGGGAGGCGGTGCATGGGCCGAGAGAGGTTGGCCGAAGTGGAGCGGAGGATTGCTTGCAGGACAAGACATTTCTTCATGCAGAGGACCTGCAATCACATTATTTTCAGCTTGAAACCGAAGATGAATAATGCTTGAATAACTATACTGTTCTAAATCTTGCGTGCGAAAAACTACGAGACGCTACGCGACACACAACGCAGAAACATAGTAAAAAACATATAGGTATCGAATACCTCTGCCAATAATACAAAGAAGGTGCTTCAATAGAACCTCTCAAAATGCAATAAGTGACAAAATTTGTGAGAACAAGAAGATCCTACCTGTGGAGCGACACCGAAGAAACTAAAGTTGAGTAAGTCACGTTATTTTCTGCCAATCAAACGACAACAAAATTTTACAGTCCACGATCAATTCAACAGATAATTCCCACTAACCGTTGTCCTATAGTACCCGTTTTCGCGTGAAGAAATGAAGCATTTTTTCGATAATGTAGGCTTCTGATGGTGAAAGATTTTTTCAAATCGGTCCAGTAGTTTCGGAACCTATTCAATACAAACAAACAACAAACCGATCTTTCCTCTTTTTGATATTAGCATAGACAACATCAATGATCGACTCGTTCTGATGCTGATGGATAAGTCCCTGCTTCAGTCACATGATGATGACGAAACCGACGAATCGCCATCTTGTGATAAGGCATTCCCAGACGTTCTATTCATTCACGGGGTGATTTGAACTTCTTCGCTAACAATACATAGACTTTCCCAGTAGGTATCTCACAAAAAATGAGATAATCTCTAATACCCAGTACGTATTTGAAATAGATTTGTCAACGCAAGATGCAGTATTATCTTTTTCCTCACAAATGTATTTTACATCAGACGGATCGATGCATGCTCTATGAGTTTTCATGATCTATCAAAGGCGTTTGACACAGTAAACCATGATAGAAATCAAGCTGTCAAAATAAATGATAATTTATGACCAGCGACATGTTGAATGGACTGTCTAGAATTCTAATCAATTGTATGATTATGTCCTATTACCCTAACAACACGAAATCTTGCTGGTACATCCCGCTAATGTCCTACAAATGTCCCAATGTTTCAGACTTAGGTACGATATTCCAGACATGTTCCTCTTGGGACATCCATCAGATGTTTTCATTGGATGTTCTAGAAACATCCCATTTGATCTTTTTTTTATAAACAATATCATGGTTCCATATTCGCTAATGATGATTGACATGATTGAATAGTTCAAACAACTGTGTCATTTGAAACATTGAAGAGTTAGTCAAAAATGGAAATCAAAACTGTATTCGTACTCATATACTTATACCTATACCAAAGCCGGCTAATTTCATCGATTATTTCATTCATCTGAAAATTCACGCTTTTGATTGGTTGTAACAGCTGTATTGATAATCGAAAACACTATGTTATCGATTTTGTATTTCGGCACCTGATTGGCTACTTACTGTTTGAGTTTTTGTAGCATGACAGCAGGATATAAATGCTGTCATAATATATTCGTGTTCAGGGAATAAAAACACTACACTTATTCTATTCAAAACCCAATAGGCACTATCACAATTTGAATTGTCCTCACAATTATTATAAGACAATTCCAAATAATTATTGATTGAGCATGATTCGCATGATATAACCTGAAATAGGAATAATTTTTCAACCACGACTGACGTGACATCTCTACATCTCTCTCTTCTCACTCCCTATGATGTACGCTGCTTTATCCATTCAACGCTTTAATGTATTGTTAGTTGCATAACATCCCTAGTACCTTCGATCGCGAGTGAAGAGGAAGAGTGAATGCGGGATCACGATTGCGGGAAACTCAATTGAGAAGGCTGTGGCCAGTTGTGAAGGAATCAAAGAAAACAAAACTGTTTATATGTTGATAAATATCGTTACTAGGTGTGGTGTATAGCTTGAAAATGGACAGTGAAAATCGTTTCGGTAAATATAGTGTAGAAGAAATAAGAAATGAAGTCAAAGACTTAACGCCTCAAAATACCGTGCGTTCCAAAAAGTATGTTTGGAAACAATTCACAGAATTTTGTGAACAGCGAAATCATCAGCTAAACGAAAATACATCTGATGAAAGACTTGCCAATATTCTCACAGAATGGGCATTTAATATGCGGAAAACCGATGGCAGTGAGTATAAGGACATGGTAGTGAAAACTATTTGGAATACCTATATACAGCTAAATTACTTCAAGAAAAATACCTACTATCATGAATAGAATCGAAAATTTGATCCATTCAAAGATAAAACATTTGAAGTTGCTAGAAATGCCAAAAATACTAAAAAAAACAACTACAAAATATTCCGGAAAAACGAAAAAAGTCATGTGTTTCATTTACATCGGAAGAATTGACACAAACTATCCAAAGTTGGGATGAAAATACTCCAAATGGATTACAAAGGAAACTGTATCATATTATAGCAGTGGAATTAGCTTGGCGGGGCGGTGAATAAGCATGCCGATGTTTGATTCATTATTTCAAGGAAGAAATAAATAACGAGGGAACACCAACTGGAAGACTGGAAAACCGCACAAGGTGGATCAAAAAATATTGCAGAAAGTAAATGGCTTGTGTCAAATAAAGAAAATCAAGGAAAATTGTCCAGTTCGTTTATTCAAGAAATTGACGTCAAAAAGGGTGGAGAACATTAAAACTGATCGACTATTTTTGACAGTTAATGGTAATTGGAATAAAGATCATAAAAGTCCTTGGTTCAAAAATATGCCAATGGGTATAAATGAAATAAGTAAATGGACCAAATTGTCAGCTGAAAAGATCGGTTTAGATACAAAAAACGTGAAAATATCAAACCATTCAAACAGATCTACAGCTGTGAGTCAATTGGCAAGTTCTGGAATTGGGGAACAACAGATAATAAAAGTTACTGGGCACAGTAGTTCAATGTCATTGAAACCATATTTACAACTGAGCAAAGAACATCATGCTGATATAATATCAAACCTCAGAAAAAAAGATAATATGGATATTTCCACGACGGTTGCATCTAGTAGCAGTAATGATGAATGTCACTATGTCAAAATAAATAATTGCAATAACTGTACATTCAATATAAATATTAACAATAAATAGGTAGTGAAAATGGTTTATTTTTCATTCATGAAATAATCTTGACAAATACAACACCTGTAATTGATGATTATCGAAAATTCCTTCTCGTTTTCGAAACAAATTGTGTTGCTTTTAGGCAACCACACTCGCGCTATGCGCTCGTGTGGTTTCCAAGCAACACAATTTGTTTCTCAAAATCGAAGGAATTTGTGTTTCGATAATCATCAATACACTTGTTGTATTATACGGAAGCGCAGAAGGGCCAAACTGTTTTAAAATTTTATTTTTCTGATGATTCCGACTTTAATCTCGGAATTCCGACTTTAATCTCTGAATTCCGACTTTAATCTCGGAATTCCGACTTTAATCTCGGAATTCCGGCTTTAATCTCGGAATTTCGACTTTAATCTCGGAATTCCGACTTTAATCTCGGAATTCCGACTTTAATCTCGGAATTCCGACTTTAAACTCGGAATTCCGACTTTAATCTCGGAATTCCGACTTTAATCTCGGAATTCCGACTTTTATCTCGGAATTCCGACTTTTATCTCGGAATTCCGACTTTTATCTCGGAATTCCGACTTTTATCTCGGAATAACGAGATAATATGCCGAAACTGCCTGCAATATCAGTAGAATACCACAATAGGCTTCAGCAAGAAAGTTCTTTCCTGTTTTGAGCTAGAACTTCTGGAAATTATTCGCCAGAATGAGTACTCCTGAATCGAAGGTAAGTAAATGAATAGTATTTCAGTGTATTATGAAATCGAATTGCATATAAATCCTTATTTCAGAACCAAAGTACCATTGAGCTAGCCACACTATATTTTTCTATGGGATTTCAACAAAAAGAAATCATACAATTCGTAAAAGTTTTACATGGGAAGGTGTTATCGCCTCGAACTTTGAAGAGGATGCTGTCCCATGCAATATTATTTAGACGTAAGAATTATACAAAAATAGAAGATGTTGTGAATTTTATCGAAGGCGAATTAAGCAAATCAGGCCAACTTCACGGTTACAAGTGGATGCATTTACGTTGCTTGCAAAATAATTTGGTTGTTACACAATATGTTATTAGAGATATATTGAAGCTACTCGATCCAGAGGGAGTTGAATTCCGCCGAAAAAAACGATTACGTCGAAGACAATATCGCAGTGAAGGACCCAATTATTTATGGCACGTTGATTCATAATTATGATAAACTTAAGCCTTATGGCATCTGCATAAATGGTTGCATATAGATGGATTTTCCAGACACATAATCTGGCTCAAAGCAGGATTTACTACAAGCGATCCTAAAGTAAGTACCATCTCCATTTTCCAATAGATACTATTCATCTCCCAAAATATATGTAACATAATAATTAATCGAATCACATATAAGAGTAAATTGGAAGAAATGACACACTGTTCTTGTTCTTCTTGCTAAAGTCTAACTATAATCTATAAGAATTTTCAGATTATTTCGCTCTATTTCTTTCAGGACAATCTTGATCAGATCTCTTTGGAGTGGAATGTTCACAGAATTCGGAAAACCAGAAATGCAATTGCTCCAGCCGGAAGACCTGCTATAATGTATGAAATGCCCAGTGTTTATGGGGCTTATGATCACCTTGTCACCATACCTCCATTTGCGATTGAAACTCTTTCATCTGAGTGCAAATTTATCGAAACGCCATGTGATAAAGATTTTCATGATCTGTGCTCTATAGAAATGGAGGAAAATGGTTTTACACGCATTTCTGATCCATATGAAACTGTAGATTTACCTATACTTGAAGCTTGAAAATTGAATTCAGTTTTTGTTCTCACAATTCTGAATCTGACTCAATTTGCCACTTATATATGATAACAATATATATTATAAACAAATTATGACCAAATTGTGTACTTTTTTTATTCGATACTTACGTGTTTTCTTCATTACCAGACATCTCAAACGTTAATCACTTGATCTGCTA